AGTGAATTCAAACAGTTGACAGCTGTCTTTTGTGTGATAAGATGGGGAAGTTTCCACCTGGGCCACAATTAGGATGCTTTGTTGGGATGCTTTGTTCCTCATTTCTGCTCTGGGGATTTTTGTTGATAAGATGGGGAACAGTAGAGAAAGTTTCCACCTGGGCCACAATTAGAATGATGGGATGCTTTGTTCCTCATTTCTGCTCTGGGGATTTTGGAATGAAAATAATCAGAATGGCTTTTTTTTGGAAGGGGGGCTTCTTCCCGTGGAGCTGTTATGAACCATTTGAGAAAATATCTTCTCCCATGTGTTGAGAAGACTGTGGTTGAACACTCAATGATAGTCGATGCAGGATTTAAGGAGCCAGGAGGACTCCTATGTTGGAAAGGATAAAATCTCGACGTTGATCAATCCCTTTGTGGGGTGCGGCACGCATTCTACTTCCATTCAGAATCGCAATGGCTTATTGAATGCGATGTGGCCTATACAGTGACTTGCGGGAACCAGCCCATGTACACTTATCTTCCCAGACAAATCTGCTACTAACTTACCGCCCCAGAGGGTAGAAGGCTTGGTTGGCCTGGGCAGGAGTCGACCCGGGATTTGAACCCAGGACCGCGCGAGTGGTAAGCGCGCCACTTGTCACTACACTACCTCCGCCTACTTATATAAGTAGGCGAGTAGGCGGAGGTAATAGTTGTAGTAATAAGATAACATAAACTCAATTTGAACTTCAAACATTCCTTTTGAAACGTGGTACATTCGTAAAGAAAGCTTTTCCTTAGTCTAGCGGATAGTCTAGTTCACGAATGCATAGAAAGCCTGAATTTCTCATACTGTTTACACCAGTGACTGAGCTTCTTCAGTAATGTCCTTCGCAAAGTACGAACGCGGTCTAGCTTTAGTGTATGACGATTTTGAAGAAATACCGAATCTGCAGAGGATTAGAGACCAATTTGCGAAACTGGGAGAAGTGCAGAAATGCCGAAGTGAAGAAAAAAGGTGTGAAAGGGACTGGATATTCAGCCGCATTCTCTGTGGTGTTTTGGGAGAAACGACGAGCGCAGAATTTCGGTAGTTCAGCTAATTCTGCATT